GTCCTCGAAGGCCTGCCCTACGAGACCATTGCCGAACATACCGGCGTGTCCGTCGGCACTGTGAAGAGCCGCATCTCGCGCGCCCGCGACACGCTGGAGCGCCTGCTGCTCGAGGGTGATACCCGCCACCCGTCGGAAAAGTCTCGCCCCTCGGTCGATCGTCGCGATGGAGATGCAATCGGTGCGACCCGCTAAAGGCCTCTTTTCAGACCGGCATTTGAGTGCGAAATAGTCATGAGCGGTCCTAGGGGGAGAGTTGGATGGGTCGGACAGGATCCCGCGGAGTGGGTTTCCGCCCCCGGGGAGCGTTTTATGGCGACCGATGACGATAAGCTCGTAGGTGGGCGCGCTGAAAAGACAGCGCGCCCGAAGCCCAAGGGCAATGACCGGCCCTTCGACATGTGGCTGCATAAGCAGCTTCACGCCATGTACGACGAAATCGCGAGCGAGCCGTTGCCCGACGATCTGCTCAACCTGATCGACAAGGACGCGGCGAAGATTGAGAAGAAGGGCTCGTCGCCAGACGAGCCTTCGAAGAAATAGTCAAAATCTTCGTCGTTTGACGACCCCGTTCAACCGCCCCGCTTCCGGGGCGGTTTGCTTTTGCGCACAAAGAAATGGCGGCGGTCTTTCGACCACCGCCACCCTTGTTCACAGACCGCCGGTCAGCCCGGCCGGCACCCTGCGAACTCGTACTCGCTGTGGGGCGCTAACGGGCCTTGCCTGTCGTCGGTTCCTGTCGTTGGCTAGGGAAACGCGACGAATATGGGAGGCAAAGCTATGAAACTGTTCGATCTTTCGGGCCGGGTGGCGGTCGTCACCGGGGGCAATGGCGGGATCGGTCTCGGCATGGCCAAGGGCATGGCCCTGGCAGGCGCCACCGTGGTCGTCGCGGGCCGCAATGCCAAGAAGAACGAGGCGGCGGTCGGCGAGCTGAAGGCGATCGGCGCGAAGGCCAGCGCTATCACGGTCGACGTTCTGCAGGAAGCGTCGTGCCGTGCGCTCGTTGCCGATGCCGTTAAGGCCCATGGGCGCCTCGACATCCTGGTCAACAATGCCGGCATCAACATCCGCAAGCAGCCGCAGGAATACACC